GATCTTTTGAAATCTGAACCAGTTAAAATTTTTCATAAGACTCCTTTTTATTTTTTAGATCATGCAAGATCTCGTGGTTAAGTCAAGGTGGTCTTTTGCCACTTTTTCTATCTTTCCTAACCAGCGGAATAGCTTGCTTTTGGGCCCTTAATAGTGTCCCTTTGAAAAACTGCCAACTCTCCTCAGTTGTTTTTCCCCTCAGTCTTAGTTGTTCTTTCAAATGTTTAAACATTGATTTAGTACAGCTTTGAAACTTTACTGTGCAAAATAAAAATGCTGCTTTTCCTTTTTTTAGTAGTTTATGTTTAACACAGTACTGTACTGTATTTCCTTTTTTTTTTGGTCTCTGCTGCTGCTTGATTGCGAACTTCTGCTTCCAAAGGAGGTCTGTGGTTGACTGATCAGTTTGTAACTCTGGTGTTCGTAACTCTGAGGTTCTACTGTGTTTATCCAGTGGCCTCCCACACCTCGGGTGGAAAACCTGACGTCATTGAAGGCACTGGGAGTTTTTCCATTGACTTCAAATGGACCGAGGATTCCACCCTCTGACTTTATAACCAGAGTTTTCTTTCTGAAAGGTTACTCTCTGACTGGTCTGACAGTGCTCTTGTTTGTTGTTTAAGTTTGATAATTTTTATACTTAAATGCAAATAAGTGAAATACCAAAATTTATTTTAATAGAACACTAAGGTTACAAAATGAGACACTAAAAGTCAGAAGATGCAAAATGTAATGTTCTCATAGTAACATTAACTTGGTTATCATCCTCATTCTACTTACTTGTTGAGCTACACATTTAAAAAGAAAATAGGAATAAAAATATTATTTTAAGAAGCTTTTTTTCAAGGATGATTAGTGAAGAACAGCATTTTGTCAGTTTCATTCACAGCCTTACTGAGGACTAAACATCCAGTACTTGTTTGCCTACCATTCCTTCTGTGCTTGAAGCAATCTTTTTTCCTACAAGGGACTCCAAACACTTTTGTGATTCTAGGGGAGGGAGTGTAAGTCAGTGGTGGGGAGGAAGCCCTAAAGACCCTTCCCTTAGCAAAAAGGCCTCTGTTTCAAGTACAGGATATAGCATGTAGCAGCACGTGCACACATTATAAGTTTGCTTTAGCTCATTCAGGAGTAATGTTTCTCTTGTATCTCATCCCTTCTCAATTTCCCTCCTTGTCCCTCTAGCGGGAAAGCAAGCTTCTCTAATACGAAGGGAGAGATATTGGAGGAAATCCTACAGGACTTCAAGAACTTGGAAAATGTAAGACTTTCTGACAAGCATATTCCCCTAGCCTACAAACTAAGCTGCTAACAAATAATTAATATTTAGCTCTACAAATGCTAAGAAGGATAGAAATAAAGCAAGGCTCCAAGTTTGTTATATAGTGGCTTAGTTTGCACTTTTTCATCTTGGGCCAAAAGGGTATCCATCACCTTTCTGTTGCACATCTGGGGATGACCCAGGCAGCTGAGAGCTTTTTCTGGGATGACATGTTCATTACTTTCTTTTCAGATGTTGAATGAGGACCTGGAGCAATATGGAGGGGAAGTTCTACTAATGAAGAAGGAGACCCTCAAGACTGCTGCCAACCTGCAGAAACGCTGGACAGAGCTGGGACAAACAGTGCTTAGTCGTCACAAGGACATTAATGGGGTGTTGCCTCCAGAGCTCAGGGCCATGGAAGAAATAAATGAACGTGCAAATGAGCTCTGCCAGCAGTACAGCGTAAGAATAAATGGGGAGAATGGTAAGAAATTACCCATCTTGTCATTCAATTTTTCCTTCAGTGTGTCAATGAACAAGTGATTAAAAGAGAACTAGCTGATATAATTTATTTGGACTTTAAAAAGCCTTTGACAAAGTCCCTCACAAAAGGCTACTAAAGAAAGTAAGGTCTTGTTTGCACAGGATGTTACTGTGTGGGAAGCCAGAGTGTGAATCTACAGTGCATTAGCCTGCCATGCACTAAAGTCACCAAGCTGACCCTAGTTCAGCGCTCTGCAAGTTCTGCAATGTGCTTTGACATACTGCAGTTTGAAATGGGAGTACATCAAAATGCACTGCGAAACTTCTAGTGCATGGTAGTAGTGTCCGTATGGGATATTACTGTATGGCAAGTTAGTGCACTGTAAATTCACACCCTGGCTTGCGCAAACAAATGTCTGGTGTAGACAAGCTCTTAATAATCATAGAAACTGGTAAGAGACATAGGGGGAAAAAGTGGGGCTAAATGGTCAATTTTCAGTATGAAAAAAAGTTAACAATGGGTTGCTACAGGATTCTATACTGGCTCCAGTATTGTGTAAGATATTTATTAATGATCTGAAGAAAGAGGTGAGCAGTGTGCTGGCAAAATCAGCAGATGACACAAAATAATTTAAATCAGTGAAATCTAAAGGGCGTCCTAACGTAATGAGGGGCTTGGGTAGCACCGTGGCAGAGGAAATCCAGTGTTGACAAATGTAAGGTAATACACATTGGAAAAAGTCATTTGAGAACTATTGCTGGGTTCTAAACTAATGTAACCACTCGGGAAAGAGACCAGAGGTATCAATGTGAACAGCTGAATAAAACCAGTGTTCAGTGTGCAGCAGTGGTAGAAACAAACAAAATGTTAAGTAGTTATAAGGAACAGGCTAGTGATATTGAAAACATAATGCCGTAACATAAAGAAATAGCATTCAATCAGCTGAATACTGTGCTAAGCTCTGATCACCCTCTCCACAAAACTATGTATCAGAATAGAAGGGGGTCAGTATTGGGTGACAATGAGTAGAGGCCTGGAGAGACTTCTGTGTGAGGAGAGATTGATACGACCAGACCATTTAGTTTAGATAAGAGGGGACCTTACAGAGATATACAGAATAAAGGTAAGTCTGGTGCTCCTGTTTACCCTTTCTTCTAATAAAAAACAAGGGGACAATCAGTGAATGTGAAAGGCAACAAATTTGAAAAAGGAAATCCTTTTTTCCCCATAATGCACAATCTGTGGAACTCTTTGCCGCAAGACATCACCGAAGCCAGCACCTTTAGTAGGATTCAAAGAGAGCTTAAACACTTTATGTGGATAATGAGAATGTGTATAGTTACATGCAGCTCAGCAGACAGAGAATACACATTTGCATATGCAAAATGGGTAAATGAGCAGGTAATCACACCTTTGCACAGGCAGTTTCCCATTTTACACACACCTTTATAATTTGCACATACACATGCACATTTACCAGGCAGAAGTTGGGTGCTTGTGTTGAAAGTTTTGCGCTTTTATGTATGAGGCATTCTTGGCAAGTAAATAAATAAAACCATACTGTGAAAGGCTCTATGCATAGGAATGACAGATCCTTTTTGGTCTGTCTTGATACAGTGCTTTTGAATGAATACAAGGCTGCTGATTCTTGTGATGTTGGCCATTGCTTAGAGCTAGGAATCTGAAATTGATTGAGCTATGTAGGAAATTTATGGTCTGAACCATAGCTCCTTGAAATAAACAGAAAGACACCCATTGACTTAGTGGGTTTTGAATTAGGTCCTTACTAAACAATTAATCTTTAATTCAAGCCTGCTAAGTTCATGCATAGTGTAGTCATTTCTCTTATCATTGAATTTTGAACTGCTGGATTCTGAAGCTCACTTTTCACTGACTGAAGGAATACAGATAAAGTTTCCTCTTTTCCCCCCACAGGGGTAACCAGGATTTTGACAGGTTTAGTGAGCAGTATGGAAGATTGGACGTTCAAGATGCTAACCAACAAGCGAGGATCTGGCATGCATGACTCTGATTGGCTGAAATTGTTTCGAGTGATTCCTGATTGGCTGACCCAGGTGGCTGCACTGATGACAATTATAGGTTCCGGACAGTCTCATGAGGATCGGAGAAATAGAAAGCCTCATGCCTCGTAAGATAGATCCTTGATAGTATTGTTCATTCTTCTCTGGGGCTAGCCTGATACAATTTGCTCTTCTCACATGCTTGGGTAAATGTTCTCGTGTGGTGGACACTGTCTGGAACAGGAGATTGGTAATGGGCTACAGAGCCTTTCACCTCTAGGCCACTGGCTGAAATTTGGTTCAGATGGGCAATGATTAAAAGTCATTCCCATCTGATGGCTGTTTGGTAATACCTGTGAAATGAGTTGTGCAGAGTTCCTAGTACACGTGTCCCCATCACAGCTGACACTTCCTTGGCAACCTTGGAGTTAGAAGCCAAGGACCAAATGGACCTCAAAGCCTGACCTCTCCTCTCCCCCCTGGAAGTGGTCCCTCCAGGTGAGGGATGAAGCACATTGATGGGGCAGTGTGAAGAATCTTGCTGCTCATGCTTTACCTGTTAGATGGTAAAAAAGGAATTTAGGCTTCAGATTGGTCAGTTTGACACCAGTGATAATTCTAGCATGTGATGAAGCTTCAATTTGTACGAAGTTCATACACAAATCATGCTTTTTCTCTAGTATTGGTATTAATTCAGACAGACCACTAAAACAGCATGTATAGCAAATAGTGGCACTCTCTGATTTCTTTACCTTCTGGGCACTCTGCAAAAGCCATTTTTTCTCTCTCTTCTTAGACTGATGAGAAGGGGTTGGCTGAGGGCTGGTTATATTTATGAAGAGTCCTTTTGTGTAATTTTGTGCATGTTAATGGATAGCGATATTTTATTATTTTATCAATTTGAAGAAAAGAAGTAAAATATTTTATTCATTTACAATTGGATTTCTGAGGTGAACTTCATCTATGGTGTAACTCTATTGACTGAAAAAGTTACATAAGGAATGAATTAGCTGCAGAATATGTATACATTATATAACAGGCTATTTACAACTGAGAAACTTACCAACAGCTATGGCATTTACAAAAATCCCCAAATCTTTTATACAATATGTAGTAGACTAACCATAGACAATTTAACCCCTCTCCCCACTTCTCCCCCCTACCAAATATATACAATCCCTCATCCTTCAAACCCTATGTGCATAGCTGAATACAATGCTACTTCACAGCTATTCACAGCTTGATGGTCATGGCTATACACATTGTTCACTCACTCATCATTAAGTGAGTGGCCATTAAATCTGTCTTCAAAGGGAACAATGGGTTTCTGTTTGGGTTTTTTATCCAAGCAATATCAGCAGCACTCAAGGCTTATCATCTCTGTTTTTGCTAGAACACAAAAACAACAAGCAGACTAGTTAGGGTTACCATACGTCCTCTTTTTCCCGGACATGTCCGG